ATGTTAGAACTTATGGAAATAACCCCATTTCCCTTTCTCTCTTTGTCCCAGTGACCAAACAGATCCCTTTAACCGTAGCCCCCTCACCATGGACCAGATCCGGCCAAACACAGAACTAAAAGAAAAAATCCAACGATGGCTCGCAGAGAGGAAACAACAACAAAAGGAGCAACTTGAATAAATACTGTGACCTAAACAAACCAAAAACCAACCCCAGAGTGTAGATAAACAATTGTTTGTGGTTTCTCTCTTTCTGATTCTGTTCCTTTTCTTTTTCTCTCTTTCTTTTTTTTTCTCTGCTAAATTAGAGAACTGCTCTTGCTCAAATTATGATCATTAAGATTCCTAAGAACTTTACAATACTCTCCTGGCTTGCAGGAAATTATACTTATTACAGCATCACCAAGTTTAGAAATCATCACTAATTTTTACCCTTTGTTCTCTTCTTATTCTTTCTTCTTCTTTCTACCTTAAATTACATTAACTTCAAATACTGAAACTTCCTGCTACGTTACTATTTCTCTTCCAAGAACTGCTCAAACATCTTTATCAGAATTACTTTTAATTACATGACGTCACATATTTCAGTGACAGCTGATCTCATCAGAAAGTCCTGTGTTATCAAGGTATCTACTAGTCTTCCTGACTCAGACTTCAGCCCTTTTCCTTGTTACAGCTCTGCAATGTTACCAAATAACCTTTCACAGAAAAGCAGATACCTTGATGTTTGAGTAGACTTTTGAGTAAGATGATAGATGATATGAAAAAAAAAGGCATCTTATGCAACTGCTGTTTGATAGTTCTTAATTTTGTGTTATCTCATAACTCAAAGATACTGTGGAGGACAAACACTCTTCCAAGGGGTTGTCATTCCCACAGAAAATTTAGCCCTACAATATTTTTAGGAGGATTAGTAGGACAAACTTGCAGTTTTGACACTTTATTCAAAAAATTCTGAGGTGAAATAATAAAGGGGGCTGTTGGGCCCTTTTTATCATATGGAAATCTGTCGCTACAAGGACTAGGCTTGAGTAGAAAAGTTAGGCAACAGAAATTGTAACCATGAAAAATGTCATTTTAAGACACTAATATCAACAGTATATCTCAGTGTGTGTGTGTATATATACATATATGTATATATACACATAAAATACCATGTGCTTTTTTATATTGGTCTAGTGTAAAGTGAGTACAACTTTATAGTGTCTCTTCCATGGTAAGATGTATGCAGTGTGTGGCCATGTTTACTAACACACTTATTCTAGACAAAATTCTGAGACCATAAAATGTATATAGTTAATGTTTGTTTGGGCTTGGGACCTGACTTCTACGAGCTGCTTCTAACTCAGTGTTAGGTCATCAATTAACAAAGTAGGAATTTGAGTGCAATCTTGTCCACAAGCCATTTTAAATATCCACTTAGCCCTAAGTAGTTAGTATGTGGATGGGCCCCACTTTTGCAAGTTGAGCTTGAGCTCCCTACTCAATTGTGCAGCTTAACATGCTAAGTGAGGCACATTCCCCTATGGACTGTCTATGTCCCTAGCCCTCTAAGCCTGAAGATACCATAAGTGACAAGAAAAGTGATACGATCTAGAAACAGGAGTCGTTGCTTCATTTAGAGGACATTATTTTTTAACCATGGCCTCTTTCGAATAAGATGGTAGTTTTATGATATTCCAACACAAGTTGCTCTAAGCAGTCCTTAATGTGTTTTTGATGGTATCACCTGGAAAACTCAAATCAGAGGGCATCCCACAGTAGATATAAAGTAGATGTTGCTATTGCTATGCTTATAAATGAAAAAGGAAATCTAGGACTCTTGCAAATGCCAGAATGTAAGAGATTAATTCAGTGTGCTCCCTGGGCCTTTAAGGCATAGGTTGACAGGATTTGTTTATTTTCTTAAAATGAGTTTCATTTCATATTTATTACCCTCCTTCTCTGAGAATGAACTGTGTATAAAAGAAGCTTCTACCTACTTGCATTAATCTTCCAAACTCAATCTAATAGGATGTTTTCATTTTTAAAAGAACTGGGGGAAATTCCAGAGTTTTATAGGAGGGAATTGGAGGAAAAATGGGCACAAAACCTCAGAAGGCAGCTGTTTCCAGCAGCTTTCTAGTTAACAACCTCTGTGCTGCCTCTTGCATCTGTGTCTGTATTCTACTTCTGTATTTAGTCTTCAGATTGTAAGCCTTTCCTGGCAAGCTTTTTTTTAAAAAAGCTCTTTTCCCGAAACTTTATATGAATGGCTATGGCACCATTAATGCTGCTAAATATCTTTAAACCCATCACAAAGGCAAGTACATAGCTTAAGGCCACTATTGGTAAGGAAACCAAGTGTCCTCTGTGCCTTTTTTCTTTCCTTGAAGTAATCCGAGAACATCCCAAAAATGAGACTACAAAAATTATCATCTTGGTACAATATGGTGCTCATATGCACCTTGAAGCTTAAAGCGGTGTCGTGTTGTCTGGAACTCAGAAGCAGCTCTAAATCTTCTAGAGCAGACTTTCTGACGTAACCTAGTTTTATGCGTTGGCTTTGCTGGAGCATGATAGGAAAATGAAGACTCTAATCAGCTCTAGTATTGCTTACCAAGAGGGTAATACTAGGAAAATTATTTAAGTAGGTTTTATCAAGCAATCTGGGTTGGTTTGGTTTTTTTACGTTTTTAATGGATATGTGAAAATCAAAAGAAACTTTAAAGGTTTTTGTAATGATGCAGGTGAAGGTGCCAGTTACTATTTGGTCTCACACTCTACAAAAGCTTCATTATTTTATTTGATGCTGGTTGCTAAGCAGCCATTGCCCAGAGTATAAGTCTACTGGGTGCCTTTACAAGCCAGAGGCTGATGCTGCACTGTTGATGTCATGTGAGGAAATAATGCACATGCTCTAACTGCTAAACAGGAAAACCTAGAAACAAAGAAGATGAAGAACAAAACAAAAAGGTTGATTGAAGTAAAACTTGATCAACATAACTGTATTTGGAAACATTCCAGGAAGGTTACTTCTTGTCAAACTTGCCTGGGGGTGTTTGTTCAAAGCTTGTATTTAATAAATGAAGACCTGACTTACAACCTTTGTTATCACTTCCTTTATTACGGTATTAAAAGCTATTGGCAGTTTCAGAAACCCCTCTGAAAACTTACAGGACTCTGACCTTCACTTCTTTTTAAGGTATCAAATGTGCGTGACCTGGCCAACCCAAGCTGCCTTAACTAGGCTTCCGGACTCTGGAGTTATCTTCAGAAGATGAGTCTCAGGGCATGTTTTTTCCTAGTCAGTTCACTTTGGGCTTCACTTCTCTTTATGTGGCCTAAACTCCAGGTCTTTCATTTTAATCATTCACTATCATGTTCCCCTTTGTTGCCCCTTCTTTCCAGACCTCTGCCATGTAAGACCTCAGCCTAGATTAACCCAATTATTCTCTGCTCCAACATCCAAGCTACGGACTGCTGTTGGAGAAAAATACAATCTTTAGAGCAGTGCAGCCACAAACTTGTGGTGTCTAACACTGCCCAACCACCCTTCTGTGTGTCCTTAACTTCAACAGCTATTCCAAACTTTAACCTCTTTCCTCAAATTCTCTCCCACCCTCCCACCTGCCCTTCACACTCAGATGACGTTGCATTCTACTTCACTTGAAAGATATAGGCTTCAGAATTCCCACTTTCAGCCTTCTCTCCCATCATCCCATCTATGGAATAGGCCCCCCAGTTCCAAGGCTAATCCCTTCAACCTTCTTTCCTGCCTCCTCAGGGATCTTGTCAATCCTGCTTCTCTAGCTTCAGTCTCTCCTTTGAGTTGCACATCCTTATTTAGTTTTCTGACTTGTATTCCTTTATAGCCATATTTCTTCACTCATTCACTCTGGCTTCTATCCTGATTTTTTTTAAACAGCTCTAAGTAATGTTTCCATATTGCTAAATTAACTTTCTCAACCTTAAGTTGACTTATCTGAGTATAGGGCAACTGCATCACTCCTTCACTGAAATGCTGCTCTTGGCTCTTTGATGTCACTCCTAATTTTTCTTTCCACCTCTAACTATTCCATCCATCAGAGTTTTACTTCTGCTCAGGCTTCCCCAGGGTACATCACTTAACATTCTGTTTTTCTCATCAAATGCCACTTCCCTACATATATCTTTTTTCCAGTCATATTAAACTGTAACGTTTCAACTCTGCAGCATATAGTTCTGTTATACATCAACTCAAGGATCTTCTCTTGGAAGTCTTCCCAGATTAGCACCATGCCTAATTCCATACTGATGCCCCTTCTTTGTGTTTACATTGCAACCTCTTCGGATCCCAGCTCTGTCACTCACTAGCTATGTGGCCATTTATTAATCCCAGTTTTAAATGGGGACACTAACACGCAGGCTTGCTTTACCAAGATGCCTGGCATACCGGAGACCCCCGGTTAATGTGATTTTTTCCCCTTATAGCTGCATAGTTCCTTATGGCCGATTAGGGAACTGTGGGAACTGGATTCCAATCCTGATACAGGATGACGGGGGAGACCAGGATTACAAAAGATCACCGAAAGAAAGGCAAGGGGCTGAGTCAGGTGACAGGTTATGTGGCACCTGCTCTGCCCCTAATTTTACATGTTTGGCCTAGGAATCTCTCAGCCTTTTGTAAGGAGATCGTGGTGGTCTAGGAAAATCTCAGCGATGCCTTCCAGCCCTAACTCCCCACGTCTCCTCAGAAAAGCTGGGAAAGCAGTTGACGCAGAAAAGCGGAGGTCGGCGCCAAGGCGAGCACGGGAGGCTCACTGCGCATGCGCATTTCCTTCGCTCGCCGGCCTTCCGGACCTCCATGAGCGGCTGCCCCAAGAAATGCCTGTTTCTCTGCGGAATCCCATTGTTCTCCACGTGCTCTCTGAGCTTAACTTTTCATATTCCCTTTCTCCTCTGTGACTAAAGAAAATAAGTTGACCCGTTAGATTCCGGAAAGATTGTAGGACACCTAAATGTCTTGGACCGGCGTGGAAAGAGGAGGCCTGACCTTGGAAGCGGAACGGGGTCCTGCGGCGGGTCCTTCCGGGGGGTGACATTCAGCCTGCCGTTCGGGCCGACGGGCTTTCTGTCCTGGAACCATGGCCCAGTTTGTCCGCAACCTCGCGGAGAAGGCCCCGGCGCTGGTGAACGGTGAGCGCGGCGGCACACCGCCGAGGCGGGCACTCGGGCGGGCGGGGACGCCTGCGAGGAGGCGCGGGCTGCGGTGACCCGGGGGTCCGGCGGGAGCCGGGGCTGGGCGGCATGCGGGTGGGTGCCAGGAGCAGCTTCGCGTCTCGTCTCTAGCCTTCCCCTCGCCGGGCCTGCAGCTTGGCTTCTCTGTACAGCCTAGACGTCCTGGTTTCTAACCCTGGCAGTGAAGGGAGCCTGGAGTCGCCCAGCAGCCGCCGCCATTACGCCCCTTCGGTGTCTAGGAATAGGAATATGGAGGGTACGGCTCTGCTAGGAGAGCTTGGGAAAGGGAAGGGACATGGATGTGAAAGTAGAGAAATTGGGCCTCATCAGGTTGGCAGGTTCTCAGTGGAGTATTTGGAAGGCTGCAGAAACTTTTGAGGATGAATGAGCTTTTGGACGTTGACTTTGCTGTCTGTCCTAGCTAGAGTTTGAGATACTGTCCCTTTAATCGGAGGGAAATTTTAAGTGAATTGGACTTTGTGGATGGGTACCTCTGCTCCAGTAAGCATAGAAAGGGATGTGTATAAACAGAAATCCTTATTATTATAGCTTAGCATTCATAGGGCTTTTCCGTTTGAAAAAGCTGAAGCCTTACTGGTTGACCGCTGTCTTTCGGAACAGCCCTGAGTAGTAGTCTGTTCTGTCCGTAAGTATTTCAGTTGCCTGCTGGGTAGCAAGCTATTCATTTTATTCCCGAAGTGAGATGAGTTAAATTGCCGGAAGCGTCTTGACTAGATGGGCTGTATTCTAGCAAGCGATCGAAGCGCAGATCTCCAGATAGCTTTCGTTCAAATCTGATTACAAAATATGAATAGGATTTTTTAAGTATATGTAATTTTTTGAACCTATTTTACTGTCATTGGTATTTTCTTATCCGTTCTCTCCTCCCTTTCCTCCAGCAGCAGCCAAACAACGGGTTATTGAAAGCCTTACAGGGCCAGATACTACAAATACTTGATTCTCTCCTCCTGCAGAACCCAAAGAACTTAAGTTTGCAACTTCACTAAGATCATCAAGCTATCTGTTATGATAAATCCCTACAATTTTACATAAAAAGAAAAAGAATAGCGGCTTCATTTTTTGGACTTTGTGGATGATTTGAGGCAAAATCTTTTTAATTTCAAGTGAAGTTTTTTCCTAACATGGCTTTCACATCTTTTAGTTGGTGTGTGTTGGGAAATTGCAAACTAACTTTAATAATAAAATCCAAAAAGAAAAGTAATGCAAAAATAATTTTTTATTATGAAATAGATAAACCCTTTTCTCTGTTGTGAATAATTGAAACATAATGATTGTTATTCTTCCAGAAGGACTCAGAACAGAGAACTCAGCCGGGGTCAGAATGTTAAAGTGGAAATATATTTTTGCTTTATAACATAACTCAGTGTATTAAATGTGAATTTTAAATATCTAATAAAAGTTACTCTGTGTGTGGGGCTGGCCCGGTGGTGTAGTGGTTAAGTCTGTGCGCTCCACTTCAGAGGCCAGAGTTTCACTGGTTCAGATCCTGGGCCCAGACCACGTACCATGCGTCAAGACATGCTGTGTCAGCATCCCACATAGAAGAACTAGAGAGACTTAGAACTAGGATATACAACTATGTGCTGGGGCTTTGGGGAGGAAAAAAAAAAGAGGAAGATTGGCAACAGATGTTAGCTTAGGGCCAGTCTTCCTCACCAAAGAAAAAGAGAAAAAAATTACTATGTTTGTTAATTCCCCTGGAGGACAAAGCTTACAGAAACAGTAATTTTATTGTCGGATTTTCCCATAAAGGTCATAAAGTCTGGTACTTTTTTTTCTCTTTACTAAACTTGAGACTTTATTTGGATTTCACCAGTTTTTCCATTAATCTTTCTGTTCCAGCAGCCAATCCAGGGTACCACATTGCGTTGAGTTGTCAGTCTCCCTAGTCTCCTCTGGTGTGTGACAGTTTCCCAGTCTTCCCTTACCTTTCTTAACAGTCTTAAGGTATATGTGTAGGTATCTGTCTAGATATCTTATAAAGATGTTCCCCAATCTGGATTTGTCTCGTGTTTTTCTCATGATTAGTCTAGAGCTGTGGGTTTTGAGAAAAAATACCACAAAAGTAAAGTGCCCTAATTGCATGTCAGTACATACATGATATTCACATAACGTCACTGGTGAAATTTGCTTTCATCACTTGGTTAAGGTAGTGTTGCTCGCTTTCTCCACTGTAAAGCTGCAATCTTTCCCCCTTTTTTTTTTTCCTTGAGGAATATTAGCCCTGAGCTAACATCTGCTGCCAATCCTCCTCTTTTTGCTGAGGAAGAGTGGCCCTGAGCTAACATCTGTGTCCATCTTCCTCTACTTTATATGTAGGATGTGTGCCACAGCATGGCTTGACAAGCGGTGCGTAGGTCCGCACCCTGGATCTGAACCAGCGAACCCTGGGCCGCCAAAGCGGAACATGCGAACTTAACCACTAGGCTGGCCCCACTGTCTTTCTCTTTCTATACTCTGTTCTTTAGAAAGGAGTAACTGAATCTAGCCCACAGTGGGGGGAGGCGGGCTGGGGGGAGGTGGGCAGCAGCAGCCAACGCAGGGAGGAGGGAGTATCTACATATATTTAAATCAAATTCTTCTATAAGAAAGATTTGTCTCTTCTTCCCTGCTTACTTATTCAGTCATTTATTGTATGGACTCAAGTACATTTATTTCATGCCTAGTACCTCCAGTAATATGTTATTTATTTTGCTCAAATTGTTGCAGCCTTGGCCATTGAGAACTCTTTCAGGCTGGTGCCTCTGTCCCTTTGACATGCTCTCTTACTTTCTGGTACTACAAGATGCTTCCCCCTCATCTTGTATTTTCCCTGTCCCAGCCTTAGAATCAACCATTTCTCCAAGGAGCCATAGTTCCTTTTATTGGACAATGGTATTTTGAAACTAAGGTCTAGGCACTGGTATGTTCCTTGCTCCTAGACTGCTAGAAGTCTAGGCCCTCTCAGTGGACAAGAAAGTGTGTGTGTGTGTGTGTGTGTGTGCATGTATACTAACCCATGTGTATATGTGCATATATATAGTTGTTTCTGTATCTGTCCATCTGTATATATGTTCAACTAAACATGAGTTTGTGTGAATGTCTCCAACACTAATCCAGTATCCCATGATTTATTCTTGCTGCTTTTCTTGCCTATCTGTAACTTCCCTCTCCTACAGTGGGAAACCTGATTCCCATCATCCACCATTCATTTACTTATGTTTTGTTCATCCTTTGTGTACATGTAAAGCAGTTTCAAACTTCTTCACCTATACCCCCTGAGAAGCAAATTTACCATCTAAAGTACAGCATTTGTGTACCGTGTACTGATTTTTTTTTTTCTCCAAGGATGAAATATCTGTGTTGAAGGTAATTTTAAAGACAGTTACACAAGACTTTTGTACTTTTTGATATTGGCAGTTCTATTTAGAACTGTCTCTTAGAGCCTTATATCTGCTTAAAGATTTACCCCCCATGGCCCTAAGCACAGAGGATGGTGGAGATAGTAATTCTAAGAGTAGTGAAATACCCAAATACAGGCAGTTAATAATAGGAAAAGGACCAAAAGCTTTAGATAATCCATCTTGGAACGATAGGCACTTTGTGGATTTTCATGCATTTGTGCTATTTTTATTACGTTTGTCTTGTAATTTTTTAAATAAAATGCCTCCATTTGCTGATATCACTGCCGTAGTCTCACACCTACCATGATTGTTAAGAACCTTTATTTTTTTCTTGAAATAGTAAATACCTTGAGGAATTTCAGCTTAGTAATAGACTCGACTTTTGGCTGCTCTTAACAAAATATGTAGGTTTTATTTTTACTATTTGTAGTGTTTTGAAGGAGGAGCAACTGTGATTTTGTTAAAGAAAGATTTAATCCACCACATACTGATGAGGATACCAAAAATGGGTACTAATTGGTATAATTCCCCCTGGATTTGTGGCTAATATTGTGACGAGTTTTAATCTTATTCTTAAGGATGCCGTTCTACATAGCTCCTTCCCTCCACTTCTGTACCTCTTCGCTCCAAATTTTCTGGTGTCTCTACCAAGAAAATACGGTTACATTGCTGCTGTTTTCTTGTTTTTGAATCCAACTTCTGGTAACTTTACAGTTAACTAGATTTGCCATTCATAAATGAAGTAACAGTACTAGCTGGCCACTAGTGAAGTCCTGGCGTAATTGAATGTGCTTATAGCTTCCTGCCTGATTGAACTTTCCTGTGACACAGGTGTTCTGCATCTTTAAAAGCCTCTTGTTACCAAGGAGCAGCTTTGACTTTTCACACTGGGTGCACATTTGGTATAAGCAGTGAATGAATGTGATGCATGAATAAATATTTGTGTCCAGCCCACACATCTGCTTCTTTCGGTCTCTAGTGAGTTCATCCTGGTTGTTTTGTTTTGTTTTGTTTTCCAGCTGCTGTGACTTACTCGAAGCCTCGACTGGCCACATTTTGGCACTATGCCAAAGTTGAGCTGGTTCCTCCAACCCCTGCTGAGATCCCTACAGCTATTCAGAGCTTGAAAAAAATAGTCAATAGTGCTCAAACTGGTAGCTTCAAACAGCTCTCAGTTAAGGTAACTATGGGCTAAATGAAAACGTATGTGCGTAACAGAAAATGTCTTCTCTTGGGATTTTTCTGATTGTTTTGATTAATATGTGTATTTTCCAGTGAGGCTGAAACCAACATAATGAGAGAGAATCTCCTTCTCGACTGCTGGGAGAGAGACACCTTTCTAATTTTGTCATCTGGGTTGACATAATTGGGCTATTTTATGTCTTAGTTTCCTATTAGTCTTATAACAAAGAAGTGAGCATTTTTACTGGGCAACTTTTTTTTTCTTTTCCTATTTTGGTTAGTATACTAAAATAGGATGGCTTACTTGCTGATTCTGTACTTTTTTTCATCTGTAGTCCTGGAACTATCCCCAATTTGGCCAGAAGATCTCTTGGACTGTATCACAATCAGGCAGCTAACACTCATTTGGAGGATAAAAATATCAAAACCTAGCAAGCATATAATGATATTAAGGGTTATTGACTTGTGTGAAGATGAAATTAAAGACTGTTAAGACTGGAACTTGGATTTTGTGTTTGCTTGCTTGATCCAAGCACAGGATACAAAAATCCTAAATAACTAAAGTATTGCTGCTTTTAGAACGTACATCCTGGAAAATATGGTTATTTTTCAGGAGACTTCTGATATTTCTGGTCTAATTTGAAGGGGAAAATTCACTTCCAGGTGCTAAAAGGAAAAGGCCCGATTTTGTTGTGAAAAGATTTTTTTCAACTAGGGTTCCAAGATCTGTATTTGCACTTGCATGAAACGTTGCTTTCTATGTACTTTTTCTCTTCAGGGCAATAAAACATTGATCTTGAAACTAAGTAATTAGTGAATACTTGGAAAGAGTTAAGTCAAATAATAAATGAATGAAAATGACATCTAAAGGGGAAGAGAGAGCCCTTCCTCTTTCAGCAGATTTTCTTTGGCCAGACAGAAACGTCTATTCAGAGACCTGGCTTCCTATAGCCATCCTTTCATATGAATGCCCTGTCTAAATGTCAGCTGTTTCCAGGATGTGGGTTGTTTTAGGGCTCATAAAGTGTCTCATAAACTAATAATGAAAGGGTTAAGTCAGTTCAGGTCTTTAAAGAATGCTTTGAAAGAATTTATAAGCTCTGGACTACTTACCTTACATAATTGAAAGTTCAAGGGTTCTCAGCAGTTGAACAAAGTTACCATCACTAATTCTGGACTTTAAAAGTGCCCTCTAATTTGAATAGCATCCTTATATTTTCTGTCACTTAATCCTGGAAAAGAATAGTTTTAAATATGTAAGAAAAAAATGTACATTAAAATTTGTGCTGCTTTTTTCAGGAAGCTCTGCTGAATGGTTTGGTGGCCACTGAGGTGTGGATGTGGTTTTATGTTGGCGAGATCATAGGCAAGCGTGGCATCATTGGCTATAATGTTTGAAGACCAATCTTTAACGTCTGTTTATATTTGGTTTATTATTTGAGTGTTCTTGGACCATGCGTGATGCGACTTGTATTTGAATAAAATAAAGATAACGTGTGAAAATCAGTGTTTTCTCTGTCAAACACCACGTGAAAGGTCACAATTTCTCTTGATAGTAAGTTGGGTTGTCTTCTGCTTTAACACATTAACATAGCTATAAATGCATGTCTTTACTTAGCCAGAAATCAGAAAGGATATAGGTGAATATACCAACCCAGTACATATATTTATGAGGATACATTTTAATTGGAAGGTTTGAAATATATGGTATCTGTTTTATTTCCCAAAAAGTTGGGGAAAAGGCCTTGAGAAAACCAGAACTTGGTATAGTAGGAACAATAGTGATACCATGTGCCAGAGTGATGTAGTTAAATCCTGTCAGTAGTATAAAGAATAAAATTTGGACTGTTTCTCTTTGCTAAAGTTAGAGAAAGACCTTTTTGACAACACTTGTATCTGTAAATGTTGAGATACTTGGTGGTGTTTAAGTATGTATCTTTGTAACATCTTTAACACCAGGGCAAAGTAAGTGAGAGCTATGACCTACATTTTTAAGCTAATTTTGATATATTATTAATCTATCCGGTTTTACGACTTTTAGAACCAATCTTTGCAAAAATAAAATACCATATGGATGTTTAAACAGGTTGTAACTTAGTATCATCCATGGGTCTAGATAGTACAGTATGTCTTGAACTAAATAGAAGTGATTGCTATCTCTGTCTTGAGCCGTTTTATTGAGGATATAGAAGAGGGTTAATCAATCATTGGCTTTTCTGGGGTCTTACCATCTTTGAATGGCTCATTGATACCTTCCTAAATCCGTTGTAACTTTGTAACCACTGCAAAACATGCAGTACCGGCTGATGATAACCAAAAGATGATTCCATATTGGAAAAGCATCATGGCTCACAGTATAGCATTAAATCCTTTTAATAGTGTTGAATGTGTATCCGGTCAATCCCAAGTTTACCCACTGCGTTTAGAACACTGCTGCTGTAGCTTAATAAAGGGCGCAGCTTTTCGGAGTGATGGGCGAGAAAGTCCATGGAGACTGCGGCTCTTCAGAAATGTGAAGTAATGCCTAACTTACTGCTTCTGCAGTAAACACAGGTGGCCAAAACTGAAACTACCTCTTTTCAAAAAGCATTCGGTAACTTAAAATATGTTTAGCAAAAGACTGAAAAGATACTACTACAATAATGGTGATCTTTATGAGTTTCTCTATGTCATACAGTGATTGAGTATTAAAATTAACCCCCCAAAAAAGCTTAAAGGTATGAGATCAGCTAGTACCAGTAAGGACCTAAAGAGGCCTAGTTGATTCATGATATGTAATGTGAATTTTTTTAACCACATGGACACCCCAGAAAGTCCTCAAAATAAACATTTACTACTCACTTCACTGCTCCTTCCTCCTCTGCCATACAACACACTTCTGATGTATGGTGGCTAATAGTGCATGGACGGAATTTTCTTAGGTTAAAATAGCAGCGGGCTCCTTGAAGTGGCTGCTTGACTTCACCAGGCCAGTTACTTTTTGCCTTCCTGTTACCCCAAATGTCTTGTCTCCTAGAAGAGAATTGTTTAAGCTACCTTTCACTGAACTTGTGTGTGCGGAGTGTTTGCCACTCACAGCTTCAGAATACTTCGTATTTATTGTGCAACAACTCAATCCAGGCACTATGCTAAGTGGTAGAAACATTCATGAACAAGACTGTTAACCTGTTTAACAGATTTTGGTGAGACAAGTAATTAAGCATATAGTTAGAATGACGTGAGAAGTGCTGTAATGAGGGAAGTGGAAGGTGTGCTTGGAGGAATCTAACCCAGACTTGAAAAGGGGCTTCCAGGGAGGCTATCAGAGGAACTAATAGCTAAAGTCAACCAGAAGAGTAAGAGCCAAGAATGGCCCAAGGTGTACTGGGCAGGCAGAAAAGCCTGTGCAGGAGCTATTAAGTGAGAGAGAGTCGAGGTTCTGAAAGAACATAAGGATGGCTGAATCACCGGGTACAGAGAAGAGTAGTGAGCTAAGACCAGAAATAGTGGGGACCAGACCATGAAGTGCCTTTTATGCCATATTAAGGATTGGACTATCTTAAGGACTGAATAGAAAGCCAGCGAAGGATTTTGACAAGGCACAATCTCTGCCTTCAGTTTTGTATAGTCTAAGAGCAGCAGGCAGTTTCAGTTCCGGGTAACAAAAGCTAGGATAAAAACATGGCGTGAGGTGTGTGTAAGAGTGCACGTGGTCCTGCGTTTTTCTCAGTATGTAGAAGTACAGATAACTCATTTAGTAGTAGGCATCAGGAGAGGGGCTATTTTAGTTGCTAATGTTCAAGCCAGTTAAACAAATATCAGTCACTATGGTCCAACAGTATGATTCCTAAGGAAACCACTATCTATAAATTCTTCAACGTAAATGTCAGTAAAGAGTAAAGCCTTTTTATGAGGCTTTCATTTCAAGATCACATTATGAAAGTGTCCACGTTGCATACTTAATCCTTTGTTCTATACACCTCAGCATTATTCTCGATAACAGTTTCTTCTTTCTTTTCTACCTATTTCTCACACACCTATTTCTTTTGCCCTGATTTCTAAGGATAGCTCAATACAATTTACTTTTTTAATATTTTGTATTTGGTATAGCACGTTACATTTCCAAAGCACTGGCGCTGACTATCTCATTTAGCCCTCAACTTTTCTCTGAGGCACGTGGCATAAGTGATAGACCCATTTAACAAGTCAGGAACTAAACAGCAAAAACATTAGATGATTTGGCTAGGATCCCATAGTAATAAGTGGTGGAACCACAAGTTGGGCCCAGGTAATGATCCCATGTTGTAGTCTGTGCCCTGACTTTACTCCTGACCCCCTTGTCAACCTCCTTACTTTATATTTTCACAGTTCTGTTCTGTATTACTTTCTGTATCTTCTCGGTCCTGTTTGCCTTACTATCAAGCTATTTAAGCTTTATTGTCACATCAGATGTCAGCCTACCTAATCTTCCGCAAAGTGATACTTACCTTTGTGGGACTTAATATTTCCCAATTAGCGTGGTTTTTATTTCTACCAGAACATGAATTGGTACAATTGTGATTGCTCTTTAGGTGAATAGAGTAGCAATTCCACCAGAGAGTCCCTTAGCAGGGAGCTTACACTAGACCTGCTTGCCAAATGAAAGGCCCTTGATACTAATAAAATACTGACATGCAAGGCCTTTGACAATCTGCCTTTAGCCTTGCCTTAATCTCATTTTGCTACCAACCGTTGTTTCAGCCATGTGATTTCTAACCAGTTCCCATAAAAACTCCCAGCTTTAAAACTCATTATCAGATTATATCTCCACTGCCCCTTGATTGTTGCAGTTTTCCACTGGTCACCAGGCCATTCTTTATTTCTTGACAATTTTTTTTCTCCTGGTTTACTGTCACTCTGCAATTCTTGGCTATTTCTGCATACACATGGGTCAGTAGTTGTCGAAGTACAGTCCCTGGACCACAGCAGCAGCAGCATCACTAGGACATTTAGAAATGAAAGTTCTCAAGCCCTACCTACAAACTCTGGGGGTGGAATCTGCCAATCTGTGTTTTAATTGGCTGTCCATGTGATTCTAATAAATGCTAAAGTTTGAGAACCATTGACAAATGATCCTTCCAACAAACTGGCCTCTCAGTTTCCCTAAAAAGTCCAATGATTATGTGTTTCACCTTCCTTGGGCATTCATTCCAAGTCATTACCAATAATTTCAACCACTCCGTAGTTTCAATTTCATGCATCCCTCTCTCTGACCATCTATTCTCTCTCCAACCTATTCCCTCTAAATCCCAACTGTGTTAATTTGGAGTTACCGTGACCACCAATAAATTGATACTACCATCTCCCTCACCACCTTGATGCCCTCTTTTCCTTCTTTACCCAACTTATTTATATTCCATGATCAATCATGATCACTCTTATATATACCCTCAACTTCTGCTTCTTATTAATTTTGTACTCATTTGCCAAAACCGCATACTTGGATAAGTCTACCTGCTCTGCACTTGCACTGACAGGGCTGAAGAAAACAACCAAAGGTGGCTAGTCTCACTTTATATTCATGATCAGAACCTTAAGAAACTATTTAATACTATGACAATCATACTGTATTTCTTTGGGCCATGTTTATTTCTGTCAACAGATGAACTTGCTTCCTACTTAACTAGGAAAATTAAAGCAATTGGAGAGTTTCCATTGACTCCCACAACATCATCTACTCACTTAGTACTATCTGCATCCATATGTGTGCTCCATCTTGCCTATACTAGATTGTTCATGCTCCTTTTTAAAACCAATCCCTCCATTCAATGTCTTTGTGCCATCATTTATCCCCTTCGCTACATCATTAGTTTTGTCCTATATTGTTCCTAAGAGTGTTTACCCGTGCTATTATCTACCCCATCTTTTAAAAAATCAGCTCCCTTTTGCAGCAAAATGCCTCAAAAGTTACTGATACTCACTGTCTCCAATTCCTGTTCTCTCTTGAACCCACTTCAATCGAGCATCATTCCTACCACTCCACTGAAAGTGCTCTTTTTACACATTAAATACAAGAGCCCACTCTCAATACTCATTTTATTTGACCTTTCAGCAGTATTGGACTCAACTGAATATTTCCTCCTGCTTGATGCACTTTCTGATACACTTGACTTCCAGAGCTTTCCTTTGGTCTCCTTTCTTCCTTACTTTTTGTTCACTTCTCAGTTTTCTTTTATGGTTCCTCCCTTCCCTGGTCTCCTATCTTTGGAATATCCCAAAGATAAGGCTCAGTTCTTCCTCTGTCTCTCCTCATTCCATTGGTGATCTCATCCAGTCTCACAGGTTTAAATAACATCTGTACGCTGATGACTCTTAATTTATATCTCTAGTCCATACCTCATCCCTGAACTCTAGACATAAATGAAACTGCCTATTTGATACCTCCACTTGGGTATTTAATAGACATCTCAACCTTAAAATGTCCAAAATTGAACTCCTGATTTTCTTCCCCATCCCCATCCCAAATTTGTTCCACAGTTTCCTCC